CATGGAGAACACGGAGCAGACGAGGAGCATCACCGGATCGATGCAGAGTCCTAGATCTCCGTCGTCGCAGCCGTATTTCTCAGTCTCCGTCACAGATCCTGTCAAATTAGGCAATGGCGTTCAATCTTACATCTCTTACAGAGTCATCACCAAGGTCTAGATCCTTCTTAAACCACCACTCCTTGATTCGTATCGTAGCTTTCAGAACTAGGGTTTCTATGTTGAGATTGGGTTCGCTGATTTTGTTGTTGCGAACCTGTCTAATTGTATGATAAGCAGCTCGCATTTGGGGTGTATAGTTATGGTGATTTTTGACGAATTGTTGATTTTTTTTTTCCGGTAGACTAACTTCCCGGAATATCAAGGACCTGAGAAGATTGTTATCAGACGATACAGTGATTTTGTATGGTTGCGGGATCGGCTTTTTGAGAAATACAAAGGAGTTTTCATTCCTCCACTTCCAGAGAAGAGTGCTGTAGGTAAATTCAAGGGCACACTTTGGCTTTTCTAATTTGAATCTTTTGGACAATTTAGAAGTCAGTATGTTTTCTATTACTCCGTGTCTGGTTGATCGCGTTACGTAACTGAATCGAAGAGATGCAACATTTGATATATGCATCTCTATCTGTATAGTTGATTGATGGTTTTCCAGAGATTATTGTATGTCAAAATTGTTAGTATACTTGTTCAGTTTGCTTAGCACTCAAATTTTCTGAATATTTTTAGTACAGTAGGATGAGTCTCTATATTGGGGATATGTGTATCGATACTCTTTTTATTTGGCAGAAAAATTCCGCTTTAGTGCCGAATTTATTGAAATGAGACGAGCAGCATTGGATATATTTGTTAATCGGATAGCATTACATCCTGAGCTTCAGCAGAGTGAGGATCTTAGGACCTTTTTGCAAGCAGATGAAGAGGTAGGATATCTGGACTTAACATTTCTGGAGATCTTTTTCGGTGTTTTACTTTCCTCCACATCATCTTCCATTAAGAATGTTCAGAAATTGCATTCTTGTGCCGCCCTGGACTGCACTTTGCATTTTAGAAGCTTCTTGTCTTTGTTTGACAGTTTACTTTCTCTTCAGACAATGGAAAGATTCAGGTTTCAGGAAACTGGTATATTCAAGAAGAAGCCTGCAGATCTAATGCAAATGTTTAGGGTAAGCATATTTTTTCCTTACCATGTAAAAATATTTTCAGCATCATACAAGAACCAGTAGTAGATAGATAATGGCATGCTACTAGGAAGTTTAGTATGAATTTTAGCTTGTGGAGCCGCTGTTGGACATATAGCATTATTCTCTGGTAGTGATTAATGGTTAAAATACCCAACTTGGCATTTCTTGCCAATAATCCTTCACATTCTTATAAGTTATAATAACTATCAGAGTTGAAAGCTTCCATTATGGTCACTTCGCTATACCATGGTT